GCGTAAACCCGGGAGGCGGAGCTTGCAGTGAGCTGAGATCCGGCCACTGCACTCCAGCCTGGGCAACAGAGCGAGACTCGGTCTCAAAAAGAAAAAAAAAAAATGAAATACATTGGTTAGGGATGCATATGTATGCAGTCAACTTGAAAACAAAGTAATTCTCCCAAACCAGGGGATTCGTTTCCGACCTAGACTGAACAGTAGAACCCCTTCAAGTAGTTTTTTAAAAGATCAGTGCCAGGGTATCCACCCCAGGCCAATTAAGCCAGAATCTTTGGGGGTGCAGAATTGGGGACTTAAGCTTCCTGAGGGATTGGGGGAGGGGGATTCTAATCCAGGGCCAGGGCTGACAATTGCTGCTCTACAAGAAAGGAGTGGGTGCTTGTATTTCGTGCCCCAAGGGGAGTAATATGGGTACTACTTTATAATTACAATTGTCCCTCCCTATTCACAGGTGCCACATCTGTGGACCCAGCCAACTACAGATGAAAAAATAAATAAAAAATGATACAACCAAAAATACAAATTAAAATGTAGTATAACAACTGTTTATATATTTACATTGCATTAAGTGCTATAAGTAATATAGAAATGATTTCAACTATATAGGAGGATGTATGTAGACTATATGCAAACACTGTGCCATTTTACATATAAGTGATTTGAGGGTTTTGGTATCAGATTTTTGGTGTCTGAAGGGGGTCCTGGAACCAATCCTCTGTGGACACTGAGGGGATGATGGTATTTGTTGTTGTTTTCTTCTTCTTTGAGATGGAGTTTCGTTCTTGTCGCCCAGGCTGGAGTGTGGTGGCGCGACCTTGGCTCACTGCAACCTCCACCTCCTGGGTTCAAGCAATTCTCCTACCTCAGCCTTCTGGGGAGCTGGGATTACAGGTGTCCACCACCATGCCAGGCATTTTTATTTTTAGTAGAGGCAGGGTTTCGCCATGTTGGCCAGGCTGGTCTCAGACTCCTGACCTCCAGTGATCTGCCTGCCTCAGCCTCCCAAAGTGCTGGGATTACAGGCATGAGCCACCACGCCTGGCCTGTTGTTTTCTTTTGAGACAGGGTCTCACTCTGTTGCCTAGGCTGGAGTGCAGATCACGGCTCACTGCAGCTTCAACCTCCTGGGCTCAGGTGATCCTCCCACCTTAGCCTCCTGGATAGCTGGGACTACAGGCGTGCACCACCACGTCTAATTTTTTGTAGAGACAGAGTTTCTTTCTTTCTTTTTTTTTTTTATTTTGAAATGAAGTCTCGCTCTTGTCCCCCAGGCTGGAGTGCAATGGCACGATCTCAAGCGTTTCTCCTGCCTCAGCCTCCCAAGTAGCTGGGATTACAGGTTCAGGCTACCACGCCTGGCTAATTTTTATATTACTAGAGACAGGGTTTCACCTTGCTGGCCAGGCTGGTCTCAAACTCTTGACCTCAGGTGATCCACCCGCCTCAGCCTCCCAAAGTGCTAGGATTACAGGCATGAGCCACCGCACCTGGCCGAGACAGTGTTTCACCGTGTTGCCCAAGCTGGTCTTGAATTGCTGGGCTCAAGTGATCCTCCCATCTTGGCCTCCCAAAGTGCTGGGATTACAGGCATGAGCCACCACACCCCGTGATGGTATTATTTTAAATCATAGAAATGGCCGGGCACAGTGGCTCATGCCTGTAATCCCAGCACTTTGGGAGGCCAAGGTGGGTGGATCAGGAGGTCAGGAGATCGAGACCATCCTGGCTAACACAGTGAAACCTCGTCTCTACTAAAAATACAAAAAATTAGCAAAGAGTGGTGGCGGGCGCCTGTAGTCCCAGCTACTCGGGAGGCTGAGGCAGGAGAATGGCGTGAAACCAGGAGGTGGAGCTTGCAGTGAGCCAAGATCGCACCACTGCACTCCAGCCTGGGTGACAGAGGGAGACACTGTCTCAGGAAAAAAAAAAATCATAGACATGTTTTAGGTATATTTTGATGTTTGCTATATTTCACAATTTTTTAAAGAAAAAGATCTAACATCTCCACTTATGAGGTTCCTAGAACAATCAGCTTCATAGAGACAGAAGCAGAATGGTGGCTAACAGGGGCTGGGGGGATGGGGAATTAATGTTTAATGGGGAGAAAGTTTTTTTTTTTTTTTTTTTGAGATGGAGTCTCATTCTGTCACCCAGGTTGGAGTGAAGTCATGTGATCTCGGCTCACTGCAACCTCTGCCTCCCGGGTTCAAGTGACTCTCCTGCCTCAGCCTCCCAAGTAGCTGGGATTACAGGTACCTGCCACCACATCCAGCTAATTTTTGTATTTTTAGTAGAGACAGGGTTTCACCATGTTAGCCAGGCTGGTTTCGAACTCCCAACCTCAGGTGATTCACCGGTCAAAGTGTTGGGATTACAGGCATGAGCCATAGCTCCCAGTCCTGAGACACAGTCTCACTCTATCACCCAGGCTGGAGTGCAGTGGTGCCATCTCGTGGTCACTGCAACCTCCACCTCCCAGGTTCAAGTGATTCTCGTGCCTCAGCCTCCCTAGTAGCTTCGATTACAGGCACCTGCCACTGTGCCTGGCTAATTTTATATTTTTAGTAGAGACGAGGTTTCACCATGTTGGCCAGGCTGGTCTCAAACTGCTGACCTCAAGGGATCTGCCCACCTCAGCCTCCCAAAGTGCTGGGATTACAGACATGAGCCACAGCACCTGGCCAAAATTTCAGTTTTATAAGATAAAAAAGTTCTGGAGATGGTGGTGCTGGTTGCACAACAATGTGAGTATACTTGATGCCACAGAACTGTACACTTAAAATGGCTAAAATGGTAAATTTTATTTTGAGACAGGGCCTTACTCTGTGGCCCAGGATGGAGTGGAGTGGCATGGTGCGATCTCAGCTCACTGCAACTTCTGCATCCCTGGCTCAGGTGATCCTCCTACCTCAGCCTCCCAAGTAGCTGGGACTACAGGCATGTGCTACCACGTCAAGCTAATTTTTCTATTTTTAGTAGAGAGGGTTTCTCCATGTTGCCCAAGCTGGTCTGGAACTCTTGGGCTCAAGTGATCCACTGCCCCTGCCCAAGATAGTAACTTTTATATGTATTTTACCACACAAACACACAAAAATCTAACATCTCCCAGCTAGGATCAGGATGGAAACCACCAAATAAAAAGACTACATAGTCAACTCAGCAGAAAGCAAGATCTGTAATAAACATTTACTTTCTTAGCAAATCCTCAAAACCATAACATGAGGTAGGAACTTTTATTATCACAAGTCCAGAGAGGTAAACTTACTTGCTCAATGCCACACAGCAAGCAGGTGGCCTGTCCAGGATGTGATCTTAGGTTTGTCCGACTGCAGAGCCCCCACCCTCACTTTCCAGTGTGTGTGAGGGGGTCAGGAACAGAGGGAGGACTATTGTAAGCGGAGCCCCAGGCACTGTAGGGTCCTGGAGAAATAAGGGGGCAGTGGTGCCAGGAGCTCGATGGGGGTGTCCCTGGCCCTGGTGCCTGGGAGGAGGAGCCGATGTAGGTGGAGGTGCAAGGGCAGCTGGGCAGCCTGGGAGGGGGTCAGGTGGAGGCGTCTGAGGAGGGCTTCATCCAGGACCTGGAGCAGAGAGGTACGTTGTGTTGAGCCCCACATTTTCCAAGCAGCTGGGTACCCACCTCTAAGGGAAATGGGAGTAAGGTGGGCGCTTCCTCTATTCCCCACTGTTCTGCTGCTGTTAATCACTTCTTCTTTATACACAGATGTGCACATTCATACAGGCACTCACACTGCAGCAGAGACTGGCTAGGGGGTCACCCAATCAGTTTCCTCCTAGGCACACGCCTCAACTCCATTTCCCAGCCCTCTCACAGCTTGGTGAGACGTGAGTGAGCTCTAGCCAAGTGAATGTAGGTGGCAGTATGTATGCCACTTCCACACCTGGCCCAGAAAAGCCTTACCCACTTGAACCTATACTGTCTCCCTTATCTGGCTGGATATCAACAGCCTGGGTCTCTGAGTACTTACTGCTTGGAGCAGAGCCCACTCCCGTTATTTGACCTTAACATGAGGGCACAGTTCTTGTGTTAAGATTCTGGTAGTCTGGGCTTACTCTGTTAGAGCAGGTAGAGGCATCTGGTGTCCTAATACATGCATGCCTTTGACCCTTTGTACCAGACTCAAAGAATGGCAGACTTAAGAGGGTTTTAGAAATCAGCCACATCAACTCCCTTATTGAACACACAGACAGAATGAAGCTCAAGAGAGTGTTACTTGCCCAAGGCCACACACCAAGATGTGGGTACAGATACAGCCTTGGGAGCCAAAAGGGCTGCCTCCCAGTAGTCCCAAGCTGCAAAGATAAGGTCTTGAGATGCTGTCCATGCTCACCTCTCCCTCCACCCCTCAGAAAGCAGCAAGCAGGTGGGCTGGAGTACCTGTCTTTGGGGCTTAGTGCTCTCAGCTGGCAGCAGAAATCGCTGGCCCAGGACAGTGCCCACACGGGCAGAGTATGTGTGGTCTCCAAGCACAGGGCAGAGCTGTAGTACCATGTGTACCTGTAGTTGACTGGAGAACACTGGGCAACAGGAGAGCCCAGAGAGACAGTGGGCAGCTGCTCGTTCTGTCCCACCCAGTATCACCCCTCCTGCTTTCCTTTGGGGAAACACCACCCCCTTTCTCAGATCACATGTTTCAGTGAGGTCGATACTATGGCCCCTGCATCCAGAGAGGGACACACAACACGTCAGGACGACCACAGCTATCAATCTGCCTGGCTGTGGGATCCACTCATGACGAGATGCAACCCTGATTTAATTGCTGAAGCCACCAGCCATAAGGACTGTTTTTTCCTGCTGGGGTGCTAGCCTGAAGCTGCCTCCTCTAGCTGGGCCTGGTCACATACACTTCTGGGGGCCATCAAATGCTTCCCAGGCTGCTATTGATACCACCATCTCCCCAGCCCCTTGCCCCCTTGAGTCAAGTGCAGTTTTTTTTTTTTTTTTTTTGAGACGGAGTCTCATTCTGTCTCTCAGGCTGGAGTGCAATAGTGCAATCTTTGCTCACTGCAACCTCAGTCTCCCAGGTTCAAGTGATTCTCCCGCCGCAGCCTTCCAAGTAGCTAGGATTACAGGTGCATGCCACCAACCCCAGGTAATTTTTGTATTTTTAGTAGAGACGGGGTTTCACCATGTTAGCCAGGCTGGTTTTGAACTCCTGACTTCAAGTGACCCATCCGCCTTGGCCTCCCAAAGTGCTGGGATTACAGGCGTGAGCCACCGCGCCCGGCTCAAGTGCAGTTTGTTTTTTTTTTTTTTTTTAGACGAAGTCTCACTCTGTCGTCCGGGCTGGAGTACAGTGGCGTGATCTTGCCTCACTGCAACTCCTGCCTCCTGGGTTCAGGTGATTCTCCTGCCTCAGCCTCCCGAATAGCTGGGATTACAGGCACCTGCCACCGTGCCCGGCTAATTTTTTTTTTTTTTTTAAGGCAGAGTGTCACTCTGTCACCCAGGCTGGAGTGCAGTGGCGCAATCTCAGCTCACTGCAAGCTCCACCTCCCAGGTTCATGCCATTCTCCTGCCTCAACCTCCCGAGTAGCTGGGACTATAGGCGCCTGCCACCACACCCAGCTAATTTTTTGTATTTTTAGTAGAGACGGGGTTTCACCACGTTAGCCAGGATGGTCTGCATCTCCTGACCTCATGATCTGCCCACCTTGGCCTCCCAAAGTGCTGGGATTACAGGTGTGAACCACCACGCCCGGCCGTGCCCGGCTAATTTTTATAGTTTTTAGTTGAAACAGGGTTTCACCATCCCTGCCAGACTGGTCTTGAACTCCTGACCTCGTGATCCACCCACCTCAGTCTCCCAAATCAAGTGCAGTTTTAAAGGCTGGCTGGGGTGCAGACCTACCTGTCAGTGGCTGCAGCTGGACCAGGGCACAGCCAGAGCCTGTGGCTATCACACGAAAGTGACTGAGAGTCTTCTTGACACCTTCCAGGATGTCCTTTCGGGATGGGGCCTTCACTGGAACTGTCTGTGGTGCCAGTCAAGAGTGAACAAGCCTTACACAGGCCTGGGAGCTATACCCAGACCCTCCCTGCTCCCAGCAGACTCTGGGCAGGGCCACAGTATAGGCAGTGGTCAACTGCCTGTTTTAGGGGACAGGAGAGCCAGCCTTCCCAAATCCATACCCCTGACTCCTCTCTGTAGGGTACTGTATCTAGAAGCATCCCTCCTCTTCCCTGCCCAGACCCGGACTCACAAGATTGACCCCATCAATGTGTTCCAGTTTCAGGGCGGCCTGGATCTTCCCCTCCGAAGCAGTTGGGATCCCATTAGTGACAGCACTGAGGAAGGGGCAGGAGGAGGTCACACAGTGGCTTAAGAACCTTAAGAACCTCCTTAAGAACCTCCCAGCACCTCTCACCAGTAGGTAGCTGTGGGCCTCTGGGCTCTCTGTGAATGGGTGAAGAACTTCTGGAGGCGACTAGCCGTCTGGGGACAGCTGGAGAGGAGTACAAGCCCAGAGCTTTCCCTGGAATAAGAAGACAAATTACACAAGTTAAAGTCCCTTGAACTCACCCACTAAAAAGGAAACTCTTAGGGAGGAACACTGACCTGCTTCAGGCCAAACACTAACACCAGGACTATAACCTAGACCACCTCCTGAGAAATACGTAAGGTTTCCCCTTCTTTGATATCAAGACTTTGTAGCTTAATGTGTTTCTCATTTTTCCCCAGCCCCCAGGGAGCTCAGAGCCAAATGTCGTAAGGATTGTCTACCGTGTGCCAGAACTCTACTAGAAATTCTGTACATAGTAGCTCTTAAATAAGTTCCCCACAAAAAAGCTCATGAGTTTGTAGAACTGCAGAAATATTTAATCTCAAGTACCATCTTTAATTGATGGCAGTTAGAGGAAAGAGTATCATGGATCGACTAGCAATGCCTGCCACGAGTACAGTCATGGAGAAATGACTGCACACTAAGCATAGGTATTATTTTCTCTATTTTACCATTAGGGAAACTGAGGCTCAGGGAGGGTTTTGTTTTGTTTTGTTTTTTTGAGACAGGGTCTCACTCAGGTTGTTTAGGCTGGAGTACAGTGGCAGGATCTCAGCTTATTGCAGCTGCCATCTCCTGAACTCAAGTGATTCTCCCATCTCAGCCACCCGAGTAGCTGGGACTACAGGCATGTGCTACTATGCCCAGCTTGTATATGTGTGTGTGTGTGTGTGTGTGTGTGTGTTTCTTTTGTTTTGTTTTTTTAAGTAAAGATAGGGTTTTGCCATGTTGCCCAGGCTGGTTTTGAACTCCTGGACTCAAGCAATCCTCCCACCTCGGCCTCCCAAAGTCCTAGCGATTACAGGCATGAGCTACCATGCCCGGCCTCAGGGAAGGTTTTGTTGTTGTTGTTTTTCCAGAGATGGGGTCTATTTTGCCCAGGCTGGTCTCGAACTCCTGGGGTCAAGTGATCCTCCTGCCTTGGCCTCCTAAAGTGCTGGGATTACAGGCGTGAGTCACTGTGCCCAGCGTCAGGGAGGTGTCATGCTTTGCCTGGTATCATACCATTTGTACTTGAGGATTTGAACCCAGAGTCATCAGCTTCCTTCTCTTCACTGTACTTGTATCCACCTCTACGATCTCAAACCTTCCTATGGAAAATGTGTCAGCATATCCCAAAGCAGCTGTTTCCCCACCATAGATGGATGCCTGTACTCCTAGCTTCCTATCACCCCTACCACTTACTTCCCAGATGCTCGGACAACCTGAAGCTCCTGCTCCCCGAGCCCCAGGGACTGGCTCAGCTCTGGCAGCACTGACAACAACGTCAGCTCTCCTGATTTTCCTGGAAAGTAAGAAAGAAAAATTACAAGAGGCCAAAGCTTCACGCCTTCACTTTTCCCTCCCCAGACACAAAACCCCCTTCTGCTGCATTCCCTTCCCACATACCCGGCCTGTACCTGTCACTGGTAGACCCTGTGGCTTGTTCAACGTCACTAGAGGTCCTGAAACATACATCACATGAACATCAGCAAAAGCAACAGTAACCCTTTATGCAGCACTTAAGAATTTCCAGAGCACTTTCTCACACATCTTAGCACATGGCCCCGTCATGACTCTCGGACGTGACTTATCTACCGCACACCAAACTGAACTGCTTTCTGTTCCTCTGCCACCTCAGAGCCTTGGCACTTACTGTTTCCTCTGTCCCCAAATTTCCCAGGTCTGGCTCCCTATCACCTTGGCTCAAATGTCACATCACAGAGAGGTCTGAATCTCCAATCCAATGTCTGCCCTCTTCCTACAGTTCCTCACCATTAGAACATCCCGTTTTAGTTTATGCATAGCACTTATCACTAGTAACTTGTTCATTTATTTTCTGACACCCATTTCTCCCATTAGAGAGAAATCCATTTCTCCCTTGAGAGCGGAAACCGTATCTATCTTTTTCAGCACTGTATAGCCTGCCTAGAACAGTGCCTGGAACACAGCATATGTTTAAGAAATAGTTGAGAAAAGAAATAAATCACTGAATGGAGAGTGGGGTTCAGAGAAATTCAGTTATTTTCCTAAAGCCACACAGCAAGCTGATCACAGAGCCTAGATGTCTGACTCAAAGCCTGTGTTTTGGCTATCAATAAACAATAATTTGTTGTCGTTTTTTTAGACTGAGTCTTGCTCTGTTGCCCCAGGCTGGAACGCAGTAGCACGACCTCGGCTCACTGCAACCTCTGCTATCCGGGTTCAAGTGACTCTCCTGCCTCAGCCTCCCCAGTAGCTGGGATTACAGGCGGACGCCACCACACCTGGCTAGTTTTTGTATTTTTAGTAGAGACGGGGTTTCACCATGTTGGCCAGGCTAGTCTCGAACTCCTGACCTCAGGTGATCCGCCCGCGTCAGCCTCCTAAAGTGCTGGGATTACAGGCGTGAGCCACCGCGGCCAATAAACAATAATCTAGTATAGCAACTCCTGTAACTGAGCGCCAGCTATGTGCAAGGCTTGATAGTTATTTGCATCCTCTCCCCACTCTTAACTCTACTGCATCATGGCAGTAAGGTTAAAAGCGGGGAGAGGGTGCAGATTAGGTGGCTCGTCCCAGCTCATGCTGCTAGTGGGAGGCAGAAGCAGGGCTGATCCCGTGGCTTCACTCCGCGGCAGTCCCCTCCCGATCCCTGTGCGGCCGTGCCTCTCACCCCTCACCTTTCCGGTCCACCACGGCTGCCCGCAGCGCATCAACCAACTCCTCCCGACTGAGGTTTTTTGGCAGCAGCCCCGGGAAGGGCTGGTCCCCGAGGGGCCCCGACCGTAGGCGGGAGCCGCGGGGTTGCCTGTGATGCCTGGACAACGAGGGAGAAGCAATGGGAGTCATTCCGTCCCGAGGTGCCGCCCATTCCTATCTCCCGACGCCTCTTCCCAAAACCTGCGGCCTCTGACAAATGCCTCACAATGTCTAGGCTGACCTCGAAAATTCAGGTACGACCGGTCCCATCCTACAGTCGAGGGCACCGAGGCTGAGAGAGGCCAAGGGGCTGTTTTCGGGTAACATCTACCTGATGCAGATCCCGCACGTGCCTTCCCCCTGCCCTAGCCTCCGTCCCGCATGAGGGAGGGGGTACTTAATCACCGGGCTTCGATGCCAAAGTCTGCGTCCTCGGGCGCTGTGCTTACACCCAGGCCCCGCCGCCAGCCACTCCAGATCGGACCCAAAACACGGCGGCCGTCCATCTCCCGAGTCAGTACAGTGCGCATGTGCTTTCAGAGGAGCAGCGCCACGCTCCAGCCAGCGCGCTGATTGGTCAGCTTGAGTGTCAATCGGAATGGTGACGAGGCGGGACTCAGAGCCTGCGGAGGCGGGCTTTTCCTCCGCCCAGGAAGGAAATGCGGCATTGCGGGCCTGTGCTTTTAGGGAGAGCTGGGGAGCAGACGAATTTGATCTGTTCAGAAAACGTGTCTTGGCCGGGCGCGGTGTCTCATGCCTGTAATCCCAGCACTGTGGGAAGCCGAGGACGGCAGATCACAAAGTCAGAAGATCAAGACCATCCTGGCTAACACGGTGAAACCCCATCTCTACTAAAAATACAAAAAATTAGCCGATCGTGGTGGTGGGCACCTGTAGTCCCAGCTACTTGGGAGGCTGCTGCAGGAGAATGGCGTGAACCCAGGAGGCGGAGCTTGCAGTGAGCTGAGATCCGGCCACTGCAGTCCTGCCTGGGGGACAGTGCAAGACTCCATCTCAATAAATAAATAAAATAAAATATACAGAGTCCTCCTTTTTCAGCAGTGAGTAACTCAAGGCCTTGGTGGTTTTGGAGGACAACTGCAGCTAAAGAGTCAATTTGGGCCTAAAGGACTGATAAAGTTTATGATACGTCTGTCATGCTAGCAAAGAAGTCATTAGAAACACTACAGAAGGTCGTGACAGAGGTTGAAATGCCTGCTATTCCAGTACCAAGAGCAATAGTGGAGGCAGAAAGTCCCAAATTGACAAGCAAGGGAATTAGTGGAATAACTCTTCTTTGTCATGTCGGTGTCATGAGGGGAATAGGAAGCTCTTCGGTCCCATTTGCAAATTGAATTTTGGGAGTAAGGAAAACTAGTGTGCATATTCCTGTCCAATTAGCAGGTAGACACATGTAGGTGGAGGAGCCACAGAGGAAGAAGAGACCTTGTGCAAGGCAAACTGGAAATGCAAAGTAAAAAGATGAGATGGAGTACTGTAGCAGGACAAGCCATAGACAAAACTCCTCACACACCGAGTTAAAGAAGGAAGGGGTTTATTCGGCCAGGGGCATTGGCAAGACTCCTGTCTCAAGAGCCGAGTTCTCTGAGTGGGCAATTCCTGTCCCTTTTCAGGGGTCACAACTCTAAAGGGGTGCATGTGAGAGGGTCATGATCAATTCAGTAAGCAGGGGGTACGTGACTGGGGGGCTGCACGCACCAGTAATTAGATCGGAACAAAACAGGATAGGAATTTTCACAGTACTTTTCTATACAATATCTGTAATCTATAGATAACATAACGGATTACGTCAGGGGTCAATCTTTAACTACCAGGCCCAGGGTGTGGCGCTGGGCTATCTGCTTGTGGATTTCATTTCTGCCTTTTAGTTTTTACTTTTTCTTTATTTGGAGGCAGAAATTGGGCATAAGACAATATGAGGGGTGGTCTCCTCCCTTATTCCCCCCCTTTGAGACTCTTAATAGTGGGAGTTCTCACTTATTTTTACTACCTGTGTCTTCTTGCAAGACAGATCGATAGTGATTCATATAGTACACTTGTGCTGAAGCATTTTGGTGAACAAAGGTAGCGATGAAGCTTTTTGTCACTTGAAGAAGTACAGGTAGCAAACAAGGGAGCAGTAAGCATGTTCCTGTTACTGTTATAACTCTTGTTATAAGAGTTTTAAATCCTCCTGGCACTGGGAACCATTTTCTAAACATGGCCCCAGGATTAAATCTATGCCACACTTGCACAGGCACATGTGCCAGTTTTGTCATATCTCTAACTATGTCTTCAACTACTTGTTCTTGATTATCTATGTGTAGGCAGCAATTAGTAAGGTTAAATTTCCTACAGACCTCTCCTTTAGGTGCTAGCAAGTAGTTGAGAGCTAATCTATTTTGATAGATAGTATTTCTCATCTGAGTTTCTTGCCAGGCTACAGTAGTCAAGGCTCTGCTGGTTTTGTTAGTGGTTATTTTTAAGACAGCTTGTAACCGTATGATTTGGTTGATCATGTAAATGGGGGTCCAGTATCCCCACGAGCCGTCTTGTGCCTAAGTAGCCAGCCTATAATATTGTATGATTCTCTCAGGGGACATTTATCATTTTTTCAATTTCCTATAACTATGCTTCTCTTTTCACGGGAAGCATAGACAGGGAAGCCCAGGAGTTCGCCTGTTTTTATGGGCAGTAGGAAAAAAGATGGTTTAATAGTGCCAATAACACAACTACCCGCCTACTGGTCAGGTAATTTGGCGTAAACTCTATACCTACATATCCAGTATAATCCAGTGGGGGCTGACCAGTCCTGGTGGGACTCTGGGTGGGTCCACACGGTTTGCAACTTTGGGAATTTACTAAATGAATTTCTCTATGTGTGATTTGAACTCCACTAAGTGACTGTTTTTGTGGTACTATTATACAGTTTCTATCTCAGACAACTAAGTTGTCCTACAGGGTGGGTGAATTCTTTTCCTTCTCTAGCTATGCAATTTGTCCAATAATTGAGGTTTTAGGACCCAGAAATTATCAGGGTGAGTCTTTTGAGCCAGGAATTAATCAGGAACTGGGTCTGTAGGTACTAATTCTCAGATTTCCCACGGCCATTGATCTCCCATTACAGTTCCTCCACATACATAACATGAAGTGACATTGAAAGACTGGGCTACATGCTCGGCTAATTGCAAAAACAAATTTCTTATTTTTCCTTGAATTTCTGGTACTGGCACATTTAGTTCATCATAGAAGGTTTGAAACACTGGCTCAGGAGAGTGTTTGTGAATTTCTCCTGGAACCAAGATATTTACTTGAGGATCCAGTCCTGCTGTGTCAATTCCTAAGGTCACATGCTCCTCTTTTTACCCGCGAGGATCAAGGGGGTTGGTTATTACTAGCTCTGAGGGGTTATATTGTCCTTTGGTACAGGAAGGGCCATTTTTTCCTTTCTGAAGGTGGACTGGATCCATTTTTTTTTTTATCCAGGTGGCCTAAATGACACAAGACAAGTATTTATATTTATTTCTACGCAGTCCTAATTTATGACAAATGTACTTATTTTCTGCCATATAGCCTCTTTTCCAATTAAGAGAACAACACCTTATTCCTAACTTATTACTATTAATAACAGCACAGGCATCAAATTTTAAGGTGACTTGTTTGGGCACCTTTTTTTCTTCTGCTTTGGCTAAGACTTTACTCCTATCATTTATGAGCCCCTACCAGTCCTTAGTCCTTAATCTTATTTTAAAAACTGTGATCATGGGAGGCTCAGATGGGTCATAACACACATTAGGTTGGTCATTTCCTGGGCTACATACCTGGTATAGAATAACATTATACAAACAAGTTCTTTTTAGAGTTCCAGTACACTTATAATAACCACAAAATAATAGGACCATAGCAACCTTTTGTCCTACCTCAGTGACTTGATATGTACACTGGGAACAGTCCTCAGTCTGAGGAAGGTCAGTTGAAGTCCTTACTGTAAAAGTCCAAATTTTAAGGAAAATGAGTCCTGCGATGAGTTTCCTCATGCTTTGGCTGTGCGTGGACCAGTCAGCTTCCGGGTGTGACTGGAGCACCGCTTGTCGTCTTCTTCAGAGTCACTTTGCAGGGGTTGGCGAAGCTGCTCCCGTCCACGTACCGCTCACAGTCTACTGATGTTTGAGGATGGTCTCGGAGGTTGGGCCTGCTAGAATAAACTGAGTCCAACCCCTCTACACAGTTATGTTCAACTGGGCTCTCTGATACCAGGAGCAAGTTGGTAGGGTTTAGGCTGTTGCAAACTTTAATGGTTATGTGGGGATTTTCACATAGCAAGCTTTGGTACTTGGTTAATCTAGCATTTGTTAACCAATGATGTCCTTTGGTAGGCATTAAAGTTACCACAGCATGGGGGGCCTTTATATTCAGGTTTTGCCTAAGGGTTAGTTTATCTGCTTCTTGTGATAACAGGTCCGTTGCTGCTAGGGCCCGTAGACCTGGGGGCTAGCCTTTGGAAACCCTGTCTAGTTGTTTTGAGAGACAGGCTACTGACCTTGGCCAGGGCCCCACAGTCTGGGTTAAAACTCCAACTGCCATTTTTTTCCTCTTTCTGACACATAGAGTGTAAAGAGTTTTGTCAGGTCAGGTAGCCTCAGGGCTGGGGCCGACATGAGTTTTTCTTTTAATTCATGAAAAGCTTGTTGCTGTTGGTTGTAATAGATGTAGTTTATCTAATCTACATTTTTATTAACTGTCACCTACCAAAATATTGACTCAAGTCCTGCAGCTATTTGATTTCAAGCTTTAAATTGATCTGGTATTCCTTGTGGGACTCTAATTGCGTCTAAGTAGACACGAGAGTCGAAAGACCTATAAGGGGCTTCTCTTGCTTTACAATATCTCATTTTTTTTTCCTTCTGGTTGATGAAATGCCAGGGTGAAAGGGATAGCCAAATGGACTAAAGTACAAATGCCACTCCAGTTATTCAGCAGAGTGCCCAGTAAAGGTCCACCACAATACCACCACACATCTGCTTGGGGATGAACAAGGGCTGACTGATTGATAACCTCTTGAAAATTCTTAAGCTCACTGCATCCTTTCAGGTCTCCAAGGAACGCTAAGTTTCCTCCCTGTCGTGAGAGACACAAAGTGAACTTAGTGTTGGGAGACAGAGGCTGGATGGCCCTTGGGGGCTGATCCGCAGGGTGCCGGACTTTGGGATATAGCAGAGAGAGCTTGGCATGACTTATTACTCCAGGCTGTAGAATCCTGGAAAAGAGCTACTATGCAGCCTACACCTGGTCGACTGGAGGACCACCTTAGTGGAAAGGGGAAAATCTGGGCCTCTGGCCTGCCATGTGCGCAAGCATAACAATTGCTTTTGTTTAATGTACAGATGGAATATTTGATCCATTTTAACCAGGCATTTGCATCTTGGTGTCTTGTCTTAATTGCTAACATTTGTTTTAAGTCTTTAACTTCTATGATCCTCTAGTAAAATGGATGTATGGTTTTAGGAAATTACAAAAACTGGTTGGGGTAGTCCATCCTTGCTCTTTAGTGGCCCACAGAATGTTAGACCAACTATGGCATGAAAGCTCTACATTGTGGGGCAGGACTCCT